GTGTGTGTCTGTCTGTGTGTGTCTGTCTGTGTGTGTCTGTCTGTGTGTGTCTGTCTGTGTGTGTCTGTCTGTGTGTGTCTGTCTGTGTGTGTCTGTCTGTGTCTGTCTGTCTGTCTGTGTCTGTCTGTCTGTGTCTGTCTGTCTGTCTGTGTGTGTCTGTCTGTCTGTCTGTGTCTGTCTGTCTGTCTGTCTGTCTGTGTCTGTCTGTCTGTGTCTGTCTGTGTCTGTCTGTCTGTCTGTCTGTCTGTCTGTCTGTGTCTGTCTGTGTGTGTCTGTCTGTGTGTGTCTGTCTGTCTGTGTCTGTCTGTCTGTGTCTGTCTGTCTGTGTCTGTCTGTCTGTCTGTCTCTGTCTGTCTGTCTGTGTCTGTCTGTCTGTGTACTCAACTAATTGTACTCGCCTAATTGTGCTTGCGGGGGTTGAGCTTTGGCTCTTTGGTCCCGCCTCTCAACTGTCAATCAACTGGTGTACAGGTTCCTGAGCCTACTGGGCTCTATCATATCTACATTTGAAACTGTGTATGGAGTCAGCCTCCACCACATCACTTCCTAGTGCATTCCATTTATTAACTACTCTGACACTGAAAAAATTCTTTCTAACGTCTCTGTGGCTCATCTGGGTACTAAGTTTCCACCTGTGTCCCCTTGTTCGTTTCCCACCCGTGCTGAAGAGTTTGTCTTTGTCCACCCTGTCAATTCCCCTGAGAATTTTGTAGGTGGTTATCATGTCTCCCCTTACTCTTCTGTTTTCCAGGGATGTGGGGTTCAGCTCCTTTAGCCTTTCCTCGTAGCTCAATCCTCTCAGTTCCGGGACGAGCCTGGTGGCATACCGCTGAATCTTCTCTAACTTTGTCTTGTATTTAACTAGGTATGGACTCCAAGCTGGAGCTGCATACTCCAGGATTGGTCTTACATAAGTGGTATACAGGGTTCTGAAAGATTCCTTACACAAGTTTCTGAAGGCAGTTCTTATGTTGGCCAGTCTAGCATATGCCGCTGATGATATTCTTTTGATGTGGGCCTCTGGGGACAGGTTCGGTGTGATATCAACCCCCCAGATCCTTCTCTCTATTTGACTCTTGCAGGATTTCCCCTCCCAGATGATACCTTGTGTTCAGCCTCCTGCTCCCTTCGCCTAATTTCATCACCTTACACTTTCCCGAGTTGAACTTTAGCAGCCATTTTCTAGACCATTCCTCCAGTTTATCCAGGTCATCCTGTAGTCTCTGTCTATCTTCATCCGTCTTGATTCTTCTCATAATTTTTGCATCATCAGCAAACATCGAGAGGAATGAGTCTATACCCTCTGGAAGATCGTTCACATATATTAGAAACAGGATGGGTCCAAGTACTGAGCCCTGTGGGACTCCGCTGGTGACATCTCGCCACTCTGATGTCTCCCCCCTCACCGTTACTCGCTGTTTCCTGTTGCTTAAGTACTCCCTTATCCACTGGAGCACCTTCCCTTTTACTCCTGCCTGTTGCTCCAACTTTTTTAACAGCCTTTTATGGGGTACTGTGTCAAAGGCTTTTTGGCAATCCAGGAAAATGCAGTCGGCCCACCCTTCTCTTTCCTGCCTAATTTTCGTTGCCTGGTCATAAAATTCTATTAAACCTGTGAGGCACGATTTACCATCTCTGAACCCATGTTGGTGGTGCGTTACAAAGTTATTTCCCTCTAGATGCTCTACGAGCCTTTTCCTCACGATCTTCTCCAGCACCTTGCATGGTATACAAGTTAAGGAAACTGGCCTGTAATTCAGTGCCTCTTGCCTGTCACCCTTTTTGTATATTGGGACCACGTTAGCTGTCTTCCAACTTTCTGGTAAGTCTCCTGTTTCCAGTGACCTGTTATACACCATAGAGAGTGGCACACTTAGTGCTTCTGCACCTTCCTGTAGTATCCATGGTGAGATTCTATCAGGCCCAACAGCCTTTGTCACATCCAGCTCCAGCACACACCTTTTGACCTCATCACTGGTGAGGTCAAATTCCTCCAAGGTTGCTTGGTTTGCCACCTCCTCATTTAGTGCAGGGGCTTCTCCTTGTTCTATTATGAAGACCTCCTGGAATCTCTTGTCGAGTTCTTCACACACCTCCTTGTCATTCTCTGTGTATCTGTTCTCCCCTTTCCACAGCTTCATCACTTGTTCCTTCACTGCTGTTTTCCTCCTGATATGACTGTGGAGCAGCTTTGGTTGGGTCTTGGCTTTACTCGCGATGTCATTTTCAAACTGTCTCTCTGCTTCCCTCCTCACTCTGATGTACTCATTTCTGGCCCTCTGGTATCTTTCCCTGCTCTCTGGTGTTCTGTTTTTTCTGTAGTTTCTCCATGTTCTTTTACTCAGTTGTTTCGCTACCTTACATTCCTGGTTGAACCATGGGTTTTCTGTTTTTCGTTTTTCGCCTTTTGGACGGGGAGATAAACCTGTCTGCAGCTTCCTGGCACTTTTGGGTGACAAAATCCATCATGACCTGCACATTCTTGTCTCTAAGTTCTGTTTCCCATGGTATTCCCTGAGGAAGCTCCTCATCTCGTCATATTTTCCTCTTCGGTAATTCAGTCTTTTCCCCTCCACTCCCATCCTTGGATAGGTTATCCCTACCTCCACCAAGTACTCAAAGGTCAGTACACTGTGGTCACTCATTCCTATGGGGGCTTCAACTTTGACTTCCCTTATTTCTGACTCATTCAGGGTGAATATCAAGTCGAGTCTAGCTGGTTCATCATTGCCTCTCATTCTTGTGGGTTCCTTGACATGTTGGCTCAGAAAATTCCTTGTTGCCACTTCCAAGAGTTTAGCTCGCCACGTATCTGCACCACCATGTGGGTCCCCATTCTCCCAGTCTATCTTTCCATGGTTGAAATCACCCATGATTAAGAGTCTTGAGCCATTCCTGTAGGCAACTGAAGCTGCTCTCTCCATTACATTAATGGTTGCCATGTTGTTCCTATCAAACTCCTGTCTAGGTCTTCTGTCATTTAGGGGAGGGTTGTAAATGACTGCCACTATTATCTTAGGTCCACCCATTGTTATAGTTCCTGTTATGTAATCTCTGAATCCGTCACAGCCTGGAATTTCCAACTCATCAAAACTCCAGTCCTTCCTTATCAGCAGGGCCACTCCTCCACCTCCTCTCCCTTCCCCTCTCTTTCCTTACTATATAGTAGTCCTTTGGAAACACAGCATCTGTTATGACTCCTGACAATTTTGTTTCCGTTAGTCCTATTACATCAGGGTTTTCTTCTTGCACCCTTTCTGCCAGTTCACTTGCTTTATTGGTAATCCCATCAATGTTTGAGTACATTACCTTGAAGCTCACTTTCTTATATCCAATTTCACCCACACTCCCTACAAGTGTAGGAGGTTGTTCTATGGTCATTGCTACTTGGGTAGGCTCCTCCTCCTGTGAGGTAGTTGCCAAGGGTTCAGGGGGGAGGTGGAGTGGGGAGTGGAGGGCTTAGGTCTTCCTCAGGCCTGCTTGGGGCAGGAAGAAGTCCTGGAGGTGAGGGAGCAGGGATTGCTTGGGGAGAGGGCACGCCCTCCTGCGGTGTAGTTGACAGGGGTTTGGAGGGAGGTGGAGTGGGGGATAGAGTGCTTTGGTCTTGCTCAGGCCTGCTTGGGGCAGGGAGAAGACCAGGGGCTGGGAAAGCAGGGGCTACTTGGGGTAAGGGGAGGGGGAGGATTTGGGTTTCATGATGGGCATTATGCAGGGGCAAGGAAGGGTTTGTGCTGGGGAGTAGGGAGGGCCCTATTGGGTGGTGGGCTGGGGTGTTGCATTTCCCCCTGGGGTTCCTGGGTTGCTGGATTGGGGTTCCCCACTCCCCTCTGGGATTGCTGGGATGGAGGCTGAGGTTCCCTGGCTCTCTTCCCTCTCCTTGCGCCTTTTCCTTGCATCTGCTGCCCTTACTATCTCGTTTCTGGTCATGTCCCTCTGAACATATACCTCTTTGTAGATCCTTGCATGCCTCAGTTTGCTCTTCCTTACTAGCATGTCCTCTTTGATGTCCTCGCTCTTGAATACTACCTTGATCAATCTCTTTTTGTCTCTGTTGTACTGGCCAATCCGGAAAAACTGTTCTGTCTCGTTCAGCCCCTTCCATTCCTATCTCCTTTAATATCCCTGCCACTTCAGCTTTGTCTTTAGTCCTCGATTCCTCCCTTGTGGAGCCCTCTTGTTCCTTGACACCTACCACTACTACAGCTCTTTTCCTTTCCATTAGCTGGCTTGTGCATCTAGCTGCCTCCTGTGAGGTTACTGCTTTCATTACAACTTCCTTGACTGTGGACATTGCTCCTGAGCTCTTGAGCATTTCAGCAAAGGTTGGGCCAATTGTAGGGGTCCCTGCCATTGCTACATCTCCTGGCACCTGGGGGTTGGTCCCCTGGGCCAGAGTCTGATGAGGGCCTGTTGTGTGTGTTTACTAGTTGTTTTTATGGGGGTTGAGCTTTGCTCTTTCGGCCCGCCTCTCAACTGTCAATCAACTGTTTACTAACTACTATTTTTTTTTTCCCCACACCACACACACACACACCCCAGGAAGCAGCCCGTGACAGCTGACTAGCTCCCAGGTACCTATTTACTGCTAGGTAACAGGGGCATTCAGGGTGAAAGAAACTTTGCCCATTTGTTTCTGCCTCGTGCGGGAATCGAACCCGCGCCACAGAATTACGAATCCTGCGCGCTATCCACCAGGCTACGAGGCCCCCTACCAGGCTACGAGGCCCCCCTGTGTGTGTGTGTGTGTGTGTGTGTGTGTACTCAGCTAGTTTTGCTTGTGGGGGTTGAGCTCTGGCTCTTTGGTCCCGCCTCTCAACCGTCAATTAACAGGTGTACAGGTTCCTGAGCCTATTGGGCTCTATCATATCTACACTTGAAACCGTGTATGGAGTCAGCCTCCACCGCATGTATGTGTGTGTGTGTGTGTGTGTGTGTGTGTGTGTGTGTGTGTGTGTAACCATATTAGGTCATAAGCACATACATAAACTTGCACATCTTACCTTCATGCCTTTGTGCAAGACCTTCCCAACTATGTCAAAGCACCCATTCTCCATCTGTCTGCGCTTCAGCCACGTTCGACTCATATCTAAATCATCCTCATCAATCTGTGGAGACAAAACACAAAATAAATAATACAAGCATGAATTAATCTGTTAGTAAACCCATCAGTATGTATGGGAGGAAAAGGTTAACCTTTAGTTGTGGCACCATTTCTCGCCCTATTCCTGCAGATGGTTGGAATGCAACCAAAAAAATTATTTTGATATAAGAAATTTGTAATAAATATTTGGTTTGAGAACATGATCTTTCCATCTCAAGTTAAAAATCCTGCTTTGAATGTAATGAAATGGCATTTTCTGGGTGAGACCCGGAGGCTCCCTGGAGCTTATCCAGGCTGATATGGAACTATTAGACTTTGGCATCAGTGTGAATGGAGATTTTAAGCCTACCAGGGACCACGAGCCAGAACCTGGCCCACTCAGAGAGGTATGAGAAGCAATGGCCTATAGAATTGCACATGTGATTTGTAGCATTCTGTGTCTACTATCGACCAGGTCAGGTACCCAGAAAGGTAAGTATCCCAAAACAAACTTTTTCTGGTTGAATCTACTACTGAAAGTCAAACGAGTGTAAAAAACTCCAAAGAAAAACAAGCATAACGTCACCATGTGGCGCACCGTCGTCTGCACAGCTCCCTCCTCCTTGAAAATGGCGAGCCCCAGACTTCTCAAGCCGGCTACCCACACCTTCAGTTCAGAGGCTGGATATCAAAAACACGTGAAAAAAAACTCCAACCGGAGGGAGTGAGGGATGCCAGGGAGCCTCTGGGTTTCACCCAGAAAATGGCGTTTCATTACATTCAACGCTAGTTTTCGGAGGAGAGCGCCTTCGGCTCCCGGGAGCTACTTACCAAGACGAAAACAACAGAGACTTAACCCGGGAGGCGGTCAGCACTCCCCCCCCCCCCCCGACGCAAAGTGGAGACAACTGGCCGCAACCGCCGTCTCAAAGCAACACAGACCCGGCAAGGTCCCGGAACACTGACCAGGTAGCGACCAGCCAAGACCCTGTTTGATCGCCAAAAATCCCCGTGACCGAATGTAAGCTCAAGACATGTTCCTGAAGACAGCAGCAAGAGCAGCGAACTTACGAACGTCGTGGGGCACGGGGATAGACAAGCCCTACCGTCAGGCCCTACCAAACCCCAGGAACCTCCATACCAGGACCCGGGGCCGAGTCGTCCTCATAGCCCTGGCCCTCACAAGTAAAAACCGGGGCAGCCGGAAAGGTAGGAATGAAGGTGGCCCACTGATCAGACCCTGTTGTCACGGCTGGAGGAACCGACTCGAATGCCTCCGTCGTCCCCCCTCCCCCGGAAGGGACAACCCTCGAAACTGCCAGAGTCTCAGAACCTTCTAATCCCAGCCCCGATTCCAAAGCCCTCAGAAACTTCGGAGCTGGAAGCAGGGTGTGAGGACCAGAAAGAACCACAGAAGACGATGAACGAGGAGAGTACAGACTGAACCAAGGCCGAAGCAACCAACACACTGAAGTCCGGGTCCCTATAAGCAAAACGTTGCAGCCTCAGGGCTTCCCGGGAAGCAATCAACCTAATGCATTGCAGCAACCTAAATTTAGCATGCAATGCCTGAGCCAATTGCACCCTTTTAAAGTCATCAGTGGCCTATGTGAACCGAGTCTCAGACAAGCAACAAATCTCGCAGGACTCTGGGTCGAAGGTGTTACCGACCCAACAGGCAGCATGACAGAGGTAAAAACAATAAGAACCACCCTGAGGCAAGAGGACAGAACAACCCTCAAACTTGCACAAGGCAAGAGGGGACCCAGGGGTCGCGTCCATCGGACCCCCTTGCGCCCCCACAGGGTTTCCCAGGGCTGGTTTCCCAGGACTAGTGTTGCTAAGGAAAGTCCAGGCTGGGTACTGCAAACTGGTGTTCAAGTCTACCAATCAAACTGCTAAAACCTGAACCCCCGGGACGTGTCCACTTACTGGGGCCTTGCAGGGGGTGCCACACAGAACACAGACATATAAACCTAAGATATAGATTGGGGGCAACGAACCAAAGGCAGACCCCCACCACACCAGGCAGGAAAACTAAAACAAAAGAAAAATCTCGTAAGATGACAACGTACCCAGGCAGAACAGAGCCGGCTGCTATAGAAGCCAGTGCGAGGGGTTTGGGGCTCCTCCGTCCCTCTCCCAGGGAGGTGGAAGCTGTGCAGACGGCGGCGCGGCAACGTGGTGACGTCATGCTTGTTTGCTTGTCTTTCTTTGGGGAGTTCTGTCCACTCTTTTGACTTTTAGTAGTAGTTTCAACCAGAATAGGGGGTTTGTTTTAGGATGCTTACCTTTCTCGGTGCCTGACCCGGTCGATGCAGACATAAAATGCTCCAAATCACATGTGCAATTCTATAGGCCGTTGCTCTTCATGCCTCTCCGAGGGGGCCAGGTTCTGGCTCGTGGTCCCTGGTAGGCCTAAGAACTCCATTCACACCGACTGATGCCAAAGTTAATAGTTTCATATCAGCCTGGATAAGCTCCGGGAAGCCGTCAATTTCTGGGTGAGCCCCAGAGGTTCCCTGAAGCTATCATACACTGATTAGTGCCATACTACTAGGTGCCATCAGTCGTGGAGTTCTATTGGCCTACCAGGGACCACAAGTAAGAGCCCCCCCCCCATAAGAAGCACAGGGTGCGATGGCCTATGAAAACTTTACATATAAAGTTTAATCATACTTACCACCACCAGGGAAACGCCCAGAAAGATAAGCAAACCAAAACAAACTTCTGCATGATATAAATATGAGACCGTAAGCTCAAAATTGCCAAAAGAACTCCACCAGACAACGAAAACAAGCCACTATCACCCTTTTGTTTACCCCCACCCCCCCTTTTCTCCTTGTTTGCAGGGAGAAAGAAGACATATTGCGTGGGAGCCGGTCGGCCGAGCGGACAGCACGCTGGACTTGTGATCCTGTGGTCCTGGGTTCGATCCCAGGCGCCGGCGAGAAACAATGGGCAGAGTTTCTTTCACCCTATGCCCCTGTTACCTAGCAGTAAAATAGGTACCTGGATGTTAGTCAGCTGTCACGGGCTGCTTCCTGGGGGTGGAGGCCTGGTCGAGGACCGGACCTCGGGGACACTAAAAAGCCCCGAAATCATCTCAAGATAACCTCAAGATCTCAAGATAACCGGGTCAGCTGGCTCGCTCAAAGTTCATTTCTGTGATGATGAAACAAACTGACGCCCTGGGGAAGGCAGGGTGTCAGGAGGCCTCTGGGGTTCACTCAGAAATTGACGTTTCCTTACATTCAATGCTGGTTTTCTCGGGATAGTCTCCTGTTGGCTCTCCCAAGCAATTTACCCACAGAGAAGGACAAGGAAAGAGCACTTACCAGAGAGGAAACTGCACTGCAGGTAACCATCCAAAGAGAAAACTGTTGACTATGACACATGACCCAAAGCTACACATGGCTGCTGAGGACCAGGGACAGTAATTAGATACCCGTCCGCCAAAACCCTTAGGCCTCGAAAAACCCTCACCCGAATATCGGCCCAAGACAAAATAACAAATACATCCGACAGAGCGGGAGACCTACGGATATCATGGGCACAAGGTTAAACCACAGGTTGGCTAGATATATGGTAAGTACACTGCAGACGATCTGAGACATACGAGCCCTTGAACAGGGCACCGACCTGAGTCAAGCACATAAAAATGCGTGATGACAGATGCAGCCCAAACAGGAGAGCCTGAAAGCAGGAAGTCTGTCAGCTTGCCATAAAACCAAAGCAATCCGCAAACCCTGGATGTATCGGTACATGCCAAAAGGTTTTCTTGAGGTCCACGGAACTCATCCAAGGGCCCAGCTCGAGGACGAGCCAGACCCAAGAAAAGGAGTCATACAAAAAGTTGGGTAAGTAATCAACCAGGATAGACTGGGGAAACCCCAGAAAGAAGCGGAGAATACTCAAACCCACTCTGATACCAGAAAAAGGCGACAACCCACCGAAAAATAAGGCTGTGCCGATCAAGCCCAAACGCACTCCTCCAAGACTACTCGACGCAAAGAGCTATTCGATGCAGAGGGAAGAGACGAGACCAGCCCCACCAGACTCGAACCCCCCCATTGCCACCACAGGCCGCACAAGATGACCCGAAACGTCCACAAATCGTGGGACAAAGTGCAGCCATAGAGAGCCAGCCTCCCTCCAACTGCCCTGATCCAAACAAAGTGAGCATGGCACCGACAGCCAGAGAAAAAGCTGGGGAAACAAGTACGAACCAACTGCTGGCACCAAAGAAGATCCACCTCGACTAACAGCAGGCGAAGCCTTAGCCCAACCCATCTAGGAAGATCGAGACTGACCCCCCCTGAACACACAAGAATTAAAAAATAGGACAATATACCAACGCCGCCAACAAAAACTGAGCAATACTGTTGTTATGGTTTTGGTCAGACAAACAATCTTCGTCCACATGGTTTTATTCTCCGCCAGTAACAACAACAAAACAATTATCAGGTACATGAAATATTATTAACAAGATCATACACAAAAGAGCATCTGCTCCAAACATGCTACCTCCAACATCTGTAGTACTCAATCCCAACAACTGTCCTCAGTTAAGAGCAGAGGACAAAAGAGAGAAGCAGAAAGAAGAGTCAGGGGCTCACACCAAGTCCAAAGGAGCAAAGGAGGAGCCAGCACTGCCTACTGACTCGCGAGACGGGAGGTGAAAAACAAGAACCGCATGACAGAAGCCAGGTGCGACAGAGTCCAAAAATACGGCAGCAACCAAGACAGCCAAAAGAACGGGAACCCGAGCTTTTAGCCAAATTAGACTCACAGAACGGGAGAGGACAGGGGCAAAGAGGCCAACCTGTCCTTACAAATTACGTCTGAATATGGCCCTTTTGGCAAATTACGCCCTTTACCCGTATGGGCGTAATTTGAAAATGAAAAAAATGTAAATTATATTTGGGATTTTTTTTTCCAAAACAGCAAGTGTCCACTGGTATGTTAGGTGGGCCGGAAATTCACCTAAAGTTTCAAAACATCATTAAAAACATTAATTGAAAGTTTCGTCTCCTAACTTTTCCGAGTAAGTCGGATGACTAACAGAAAACGGGACTGCATAATTTATGTGAGCCGAATCATTTCAAATCAAGTCCATTTTTGGCCATAGCGCACATACGAGCGAAAAGTAAAATTTTTAATTAAGAGGGCGGGTGGAAGAGGCAAGCCAACATGCCTTAAGAGGCACAAGAGATCCAGCCTCCCACCCCCCCCCCCCCCTCTCCACCCGGAAAAAACAACAACACATAAGATACGTCCTGACAATCAAGCTTACAGAACGGCAAAACCGCGCCCAGTTCTGAGGAAACCAAAGGACAGTCCACAAGCCAGGATGACAAGAACCTCAGAACGCACCCAAGAAGTGTAAAGGGACCCAAACTTGAAAGAGGCCGGATCCATGATCGAGGCAGAAACCAGTTCAGGCAGGAGGTAAGCTCCAAACGCCTCCCAAGCCTCCTCTGGGGAACCCGAGTAGAAAAAAACCTCAGCAAGGACGAACACGAGGCACCAAATGGCCTCCTGAAACGAATCCAGAGAGGGGGGGGGGATATGCCCCTAACACAGGCATACAAGGAAGATGGATAAGAAAACCCCTCACCCTACAACAATAAGTGCTGCGGAGAAGGCACAAAAGCCACAAAGGAGTCCAAGAACTCCAATTGGATTTCCCCAAAGCCATGGGAACCGCAGGCAACGGCCTTGGAGCAAAGCACTCATCCACACCCACCATTCGGGATGGGAAGACGAAGCCCAAGGAAAAAGTTTCAAAAGAGAGGAGTCCGCTGGAAGGATTCTGAAGCTTCAGTGGGAAAGAGCAGCTCAACTGCCTCTGCACCCAAATTGGAAGGGGCAACCACCGGATCAGCCCAAGCCACATCCCAAACTAAACCTTGTTCCGAGTCCAAAACCCTGAGATGCCTCAGAGCCTGATGCAGGATTGTAGGAGAAAGGCAAACCATGCCCACCAGGAAAGGAAGAGAGGGTGCGGACAGAACCGAGGCTGAGGAGACCAACATCCCAAAGTCCAAGGTCCTAAACACAAATGGGGCAGATATGGGGCAAACGGACACACCACCCGGAGCATTGCAACACCAAACACTGGCGACGCAAAGCACTCGCTACATGAAACCTCTGAACCTCTACAAGAGAACTGATGAGTAGGAACACATGGGGAGGGGGGGGGGGAAGAAGGCCCACATGACTTTGGGTCGTAGGTGTTGCCAACCTAATCAGCAGCACAGTGGGGGGGTAGGGCAAAAAGCATGACCATCACTGAGTGGCAGCATTAATGAACAACCCTCAAAATCGCATAAAGGGAGAACGGTCTCTGAAGAGGTATCCATAGTACAACCGTGCCCGTGGGGGGTTTCCAGAGCCTGCAGGGTGAATGTGCCCTGCAGGAAGCCCAGGCACTGGGGTCCGCGCTGGTAAACCCTGTCGATGCAGGCAACTAGGACCCACCCCAAAGCCTAAGTAAATGGAAAGGGGGGTTCCACGGCGCACACTCTAGGCTGGCCTAGTAAAGAAAAAGGCAGGACCCGCTAGTAAAACAGCAAATAACAAAAAAATTATAAAGTAAAACCCCACGACTAGACCGCAGCAAATGAGAAGCCTAGGAGAAATATCAGCAAGGCCATAAGTAGCTTGTGAAAAGTGCAGGGTGTGCTAACCACAGTGTGCCCACTAGCCGGTAAGACACAAAGCACAAGACCCCCGGCTTACCTTAGAGGGCGAGGATCATCCCCAAGTGAAAATGGCCCCCTAAAGCGAGCCTTCCCCTAAAGGAAACGTTCCCCAAACGCCCCAGGGGAAGACAACCCAAACTGTACAAGGGTAATGCTCACAAAGCGCATAGGGACGGAAACCCTGAGCTTGTGCAGCTCTGGTACACTATAACTTCTAGCTCATGCACATTCCTGTGTAAAGCACTGCATAAAATGCAAAAAAAAAATGGACAGAGGAGTCAGAGCAGCATGACCGCTAGGTAAGCACATCAGTAAAGAATTGAAGCCGGCCGGGCTGGGTTCCTCCTCCCCCATCGAGGGGGGGGGGGGGGAAGGAATTATCAGGGGAAAACGCCAAGCCAATATGACTATATAGCACTTAGAATGGATCAGGATAAGGATTTGGGATGGGACGGGGAAGGGGGGGAAGGAATGGTGCCCAACCACTGGGACGGTCGGGGATTGAACACTGACCTGCATTAAGCGAGACCGTCGCTCTACTGTCCAGCCCAAGTGGTTGGGCTAACGAGGGGAGGAGGTGGAGCTAATTAGCAGGGGACTAGTTTCACTAAGTTTTGGTTGTTTCTTCTCATCTTGGGGGAGTTATTTAGACGTTTTGCAGGCTTCGGTCTCATTTTTATACCAGACAATGGTTTGTTTTGATTCATCTGTCTTTCTGGGTGCCTTCCCTGATGATAGCAAATATGATCAATTTTAAATGTAAAGTGATCATAGGCCATTGCTTCCTGTACCTCTGTGAGGGCCAGGTTCTGGCTCATGGTTCCTGGTAGGTAAAAGGAACTGATGACAACGTAGTATGGCCCTTAATCAGTGATGATAACTTCAGGAAGCCAACGGGGCTCATCACAGAAGAGATGTTTATAATTATAAGACTTCATAGATAAGAGGCTATCGTTAATTTACATGTCATATTCTTGGTGTTATTATCAGTGAAAGTTTACTATACTATAATTCTATGCTTCCATCTCACATTTAAATAAATCTTACCTACCATGATAAACTGACGAGCTTGACTGAAGGACTTAAGAACAAAAGCTGTTAGCCATGTGGAGCCTGAAGAATCAGAACTTCCAAATGCACTGTAGGACCCATCCTTGTGACGATAGTTGAGTTCTCGTTGATAACCTGAAATATTGTTAGGTGTGTGTAATAGGTATGGATACATTATTACTTATCTCTTGATATAATTGCAAGATACGGGCATTAAAACTAATTTATTGCATGTATATTTCAATTTGCAGGCACAACACGACCAATATTGCATGTATATTTTCAGTTATTTATTTCTGTCACAATACGACCATCCATCACATTCTCAATGTCTATTTCCACTTCAACATTTAACTTGCCCATATCAATTATTTTGTAAATTCTTGGTATCATACCAATTTAACTCTTCAAACTATTGCAACAATTCGAATTTTCACTCAGTTTTGTCATGTCATGGAACATGTGCAATCACCAAAGCCAGCTTGTTCCTTCCAAACTTGAATTTTACATACAAGTAATTATCAAAAGAAGGCACCAAACCGGGGGAGACTATGTAGCACCATCAAAGTCACATGATATTTAAAAGGACCTAAATATGTATATACGATAGCAATAGTGCACAAGGCTAGCAATATCAAAGGTATCGGATTCACCAAGAATTCTGTCTAGAGACAAATGACCACAAGGGACAGTCTGGAAACAAGCCATGTAAACGTCCTGAAAATCAGGACATTCAAACAACGCGATGTACAACCTTAGAGGGACAATGCAGTTAGGACAACAACAACCATGGAGGTGAAGGACTGGCTTGACATCTGGAATAAACTTACACACTACCTTGCAGATATACTTCCAGATCTGGGGGAGAGGAATGTCACCTGTAATGGTGGAGAAATAAGATTTCCAACTCTTATGCTTAGCCATACGAATAGCCCTCCTGGCTATCACACTTGCCTTTAAAAACAAAATAAAAAAATCATGCGTCTGTTGGCGGCATTTATTTTCAGGCTGCACGCTTACATCGTACAGCACGAAGTACAGTCTGAATCCTACCAGGGAACACATTTGTTGGAAAGTACATATGATTTGCGATATAATCTGGAAGAGAACGGAGGCATTGAAATATATGTTAAAGTCTATTTCAAGAGAGCACTATGGGGAACTTAGAATATTATTTTATGAGTTTAATTGGACAGGCTTGTTGCTAGCCAAGGAAGAAAATGAGATGTATGCCAAATTTTGCGAAATATACGACGAAGGAACAAACATTCATACCAAAATGTAGATGCAAGACCAGAAAACAGGATTGTTTTAACGGGAATTGTGAGAGGGCCAGAGGGAAAAGACAAGGAAATGGGGTCAATACAGGAAGAGGCCTAACCCACAAACATACCAGCACTATGAGCAAGCATGAAACAATTATACAGCATTGAGGAGAGAGGCAGAAAGGAACTTTGAGAAAGGTATAGCAGGCAAATGTAAAACAGATCCAGGCCTTTTCTATACATTCATTAACCCATATAAGGAACTTGGGATGATAGCCTGCAACACCACTAGGCATAAGAAAACAATAAAAAAAAATGATCTTCTAAGATTGTTAAAATGTGCACACTTCCAGGCACATGTAAAAGCAGTGCTACCCTGGTGGCCAGGTGGGGAAACTGCCTGCAGAAAAGAAAATGGCCACTGAAACAAAAGACGCGCCCAGTGTAAGGGAGCCGAGCCAGCAAATGTGGGAAACCAAAGCAGATAAGAAGGAGGGACAAACCTACTCCCCCATATCCAGAAGACACAAGGCTCAAGCAGGGACAAACAGCCCCAGAACTGCTAGCTGACTCCCCCCACAGCCCCAAGAACTTCCAACAAAGGCCCCGGGACAGAGCAGCCCACCACCCTCAAAGAAAGGCGAGTCCAAGGGAAAGGCAACTAGAAGGGGGTCTGCTGGTAAGGCCCAGAAGCCTCGATGGTAGGAGCAGGCTCAAAGGCCACTGTCCCCACAACGAATGAGGCAGCCCCCAACTAATCCCTGCCCTGATTCCAAAACCCGCAGACATCAGGGAGTCAGTGGTAGGGAGGGGAAGCAGAGGAAAACCAACAGCAGGGAAACGATCCAGGGGCGCAGACTGAACCAACGCCTAAAACTAAAACGGGGCAGCCCCAGGGTATTCGAGCGGGTAACCAACCTAGTACGTTGCAATAACCTAAATCAACCAAGCAACGTGACAGCCGCGTGACCCCCAAGATCTTTTGAAGAATCAGTAAACTGGAGAACAAGCAGGGAACAAGACCCGCTCGACCCCGGGTCGAAGGTGTCAGCAATCCCATAAGCAACATGATGGAGGCAAAACAGGTGACTGTCACCCTGAGATAAGGGCACAGAACAACCTTCAAACTCGCGCAAGGGGAGTTGGAACTCACCTTGAACTAACAGCCTAATAGTAGTCCTTGGACTATATGGACCAATATCCCTACCAAGGTCTACCTTGTTTGGCTAACAAAAATAAAAGAAAACCCCTCCACAAATGTACAGTGCCACCAGAAGGAACAGGAACATAGCCGCCGTGTAGATAAGCATGCTATACAGCATCTTGCATCCCAACCAGCAACAACACTACTTTCTACCCAAGGCCACAAAATCCCAGCTGGCCCCAAGGGCAGGGTAAATGCTGCACAGCAACAACTCCTACAGAATAAGATTAATGAAGGCACTAAGGAAGGCAACCCTAGAACTCAAGCGTAATAATTACGGGGTGCTTAGGGAAGGCAGCCCTAAGCACATTCAGTCCCAGTACATTATGTTAATCTTGATCAACACGCTACAAACAACCCGAAACATCACAAGGGCACAAATTCCTGCAAGAAACCGAGATCAGAGTTGACATGCGCCCAAGAGCACATCAGCCTACGAACTAAAGGTGTGAGTAGCCGGCGCAAGGGTCCGGGGCTTCCCCTGCAGAGGAGGGGAGGGCTGCGTGGACAGCGGCGCGGCATATGTCGTGTGCTTGTTTCTTTTGGTTTTGGGAAGTTCTGCCTCTGTTCAGTCATCAGTTGCAATTTCTTACCAAGTGAGGTCTGTTTGTTATGCCTTCCTTTCTGGGTGCCTAACCAGGTCGCTGACAGACATGGAATGCTCCAAAACATATGAGGGTTTCCATAGGCCATTGCTCCCTGTGCCTCTCTGAGGGGGCCAGGTTCTGTCTCGTGATCCCCGGTAGGCTGAACTCCATTGACTGATGCCCCAGACTAATATAGCATATATCAGTCTAATAGCTCCAGGGAGCACGAGGGGCTCCTCACTGAAAGTGAAGACATCTGGCTAATATATATCACAAAGACCTGAATTATAATGACCATTTAAATGAATGTGATCATCTCAGCACTACATGGCTCTTGATGAAAATAGTGAGAATCTTTCTGCACTGCACAGAAAAGTAATTTCTGACAATTTGAAATCTGTATTTCCGAATGCTGAAATTGCACTCTGTGTGTTCATGTGCATAATGGTGACCAACTGTAAAGGATAACTTTCTTTTTAATATTGAAACTTATAAAAAAATCTGCTTCATACCACAATGGGGCAGCAGCGTTTGAACTGGCCTTCACTCATGTGCATGGCAAATGACATCGTGAGGACCATTTAACTTCAAGACAATGATAAAGCAATTCTCTGAAAAGAAGTGCCACAAATGCTTTTTATAATAAGTTCGTAGTAATTTCATACAGTATCATCTAATCCGTGTAGCTTACTGAATATTATTGGGCTTTTCAAGTCTTGTGTATTGTTCAAATGTTTTTCATGTTGATTAAAAACATGCTGTAGAGCAGTAACTAATGTTTTAACACCAGTTTCATTGAAGTGCCAAAAAAATTAATATATGTTTAATATTAACGATCATTTACTTTTTATTCCTGCGAGTGGCTGTCTTAGGGGCCCCAGTTCACTGGTTTGCCCAGGGGCCTATAATGCTGCCAAGACGTCCCTTCACACATGTGTAGGACCAGGAAGGGTGGGCATTCTCACAATTGATGCAGTGAGCTTGGAGAGGAAAACATTCTATCTTAGTACCACACCCAAGTGCACCCACTACAAGGCGAACTGACAGAGCAGGAAAAGAGGCCTGCCCCACCAGCCCACAACCTCCCGAAGGAGTAGGAGCCACCCAACGCCACCACTGGCCGGAGGATACGACCTGAAACGCCCACAAATCGTAGGACCAGGCATGAGCGAACAGTGCGAGCCTCAGTAGGTCCCTGGTAGGCAAGAACTCTATGTACATTGACTGATGCCAGAAAGCTTATATGTCCATATCAGCCTGCATAGCTTCACTAGAGGAGTAGGTACTGCCAACTACATAGCAGCATTATTAGGAACAGTTAACTCAGGTCCAGCTATAGTGGTCTTCCTTGATCTAGAAAAAGCATTCGAACTTGCAAGCCCGCAAGCAATATTACACACCTTAGTTTAAAAGGTATAAAGGGCAAAATGCTAGCATGGATTCAAGATTACCTAAGTCACAGGTATGCCAGAGTAAAGTTGCAAGGACAAGTGTCGGACTACCACTTGCATGAGAATAGGACTCCACAAGGAGGAGTCCTCAGTCCTAGTCTCTTTAACATCCTTGTGGAAAACCTTGTTACCATGACATTTACAGAAAGGGTTAAATTGCTAAGCTATGCTGATATAGCATTAGTCATTACAGGTCCCTCACTTCTAAATAAAGCACAAGATGCACTAGATAAAGTAACATCTGAATGTAGCGTTTTAGGGCTAAAAATATCTGCACAGAAGTCTAAGGCAATGAGACTAGGCGGCAACACTCCAGACAGGCACCTACGCATTGAAGACATTAACCTTCAGTGGGTTACACAATATCAATATCTCTAAGTGTGGATAGATTTTTAAAATGACATTCAACAAGCAAATTCAATATCTAAAGGAGAAAGCAAAATCACGACTGAATATAATGAGAGCAATCACAGGGGCCTAGGAGCGAGACACAGTGTTAAAAATGTTTTACATACACGCCGTTCGTTCCCTAGTTGATTATGCAACGCCTGTGTTACTCTTTCTTTGGTCAGTGGGCAAACGTTGAGGTTATTCAAAACGATGCATTGCGAATCATAACAGGAGCTCCCAGATGGACTAAAATACTGAACCTAAGACTAGAAACCAAGCTAACGTCGATTGAAATAAGGGTAAAGGGGATTGCTGCGTGCATGCTGATCAAGATATTGACTAGACCTAGAATCAGTTCACTAAAAGATATAATCACTGGAGCACTAACTCTGGACAGAAGAGCCTCGAATAGCAACAGGTGGACCCATTGTGCGATAAACATCATCAATACATTCGATATAACAAACACAGTCACTGAGAAGGGTGTCGACGAAATACATGCAGACTTTGTTATGCAAGCCCCTTGGGAATCTCTGCCAGCAGACTAAGATTATGGTTATTGAAGGAAAAAAGAACCAGACAAATCCTCATCTGCTACGTAACATTGCACAGATGCATATAGAAGCAAACTTGGCATCCGACAGCTTCACATACTTCACAGATGGATCAGTAGACCAGCAGGAACAATTAACCGGAGCTGCAGTTAAAGCAGGAAACTCTGTAAATAGTTGGAGGCTTTCAAATGGGTGTTCGACTTTACAAACAGAGATGCTAGCCATTCAAAAGGCTTTGGAACATGCTCTTGCTGAACACCGACAACATGATATCATACATACAGATTCGAGAACCGCCATTGAAACGTTGCAACAAGAACACACATGTGATAAACATCTGATCACAAATGTCATATCATTAATGCAAACACTCAAACGACAAGGTCAACGGGTACTTATCAACTGGGTGCCAAGTCATGTGGGAATAATAGGAAATGACATTGCAGACTTAGCTGCAAAATTTGCAACTAAGAGGAGAAATGTAGACATTTACATACCACAGAGTCTATCACAGATTAAGAAAGTAATTAGAAACAGAGCAATGCAAAAGATGAACAGTGACCACAACACAGCAGTTGCAACATCAGGATCTGCGGGTTGGTACAAGAATTCAACCAACTACGAACCACTTAGTTTGATGAAAGGGAGCAGTAGAACAACAGAAGTACACTTACATCGCATCAGGCTTGGATACCCATGTGCATGGGAAATAGGCTTACAGGTTCCGGAAGATGAGAGGAAATGTCAGCACTGTGGAGAAATGCCCGACAGACCACTGAACATTATCTAACACAGTGCAGTTACAAACCCATAAAGATTTCAACTTAGATTCAACAGAGCAGAAGAAGTTGTTAATTAAACACATGGCAAAATCTTACGGAAGCGACCATACGAGTCATAAATACTCATACTCCAACCAAGTAAAACAGAAACAAACAACACTTAGTGGGCCAGCCAGAGGCTTAGGACCCGCGCAGGAATATCCCTGCAAAAAAAAAAAAATGGATAGCTCCGGGGAGCATCCGGACTCGCCCAGAAAATGGTGTTTCATTACATTCAACGCTGATTTTTTGCCAGACTTTCCCACCCTATTGCAGCAAAAATACGCAACCTACGATTTTTTTTTCCCATGATCAGGGAACACAAATGAACACTTATGAGACGAAATATTTTTTTATATTTTTTAATTTCTTCATCCTGGCTGAACGGCCCTATATACTACCAACTGGTGGTGGTTGCAACATAGGACACTTCCTGACATAAACTGGGAGGGTGAGGATCAAGGCAGGGCGAGAGTAGAGAGGGGAATGGGGAGGCGATGGAGGGGGGGGGGTGATTACCTTGTGATGATTTCGGGGCTCGGCGACCCCGCGGTCCGGTCCTTGAACACGCCTATGATGGAGGGGTTAGGATGATGGATAGATGATGAGGGTTCGAAGAGTTGTAGATTGAGGGTGGGCAGCTAGGGATGGTGAGGACGGAGGGATATGGGAGGACAGAGGAATGGCGATGGTAGAGGTGTATGGAGGTAGGTCATGGGTAGGAAAGTGATTGATGGAGGGCAGGCGATGGTTGGGAGGAAGTGTGTGGGGAGGGATATCTTTATAAGCTTTCTCAGATACAGTATTTCACGTTATTGTTTTAATGGTGTTCTTGTAAGCCATTTAATTGTTAGTTTAGCAGTCAATTGACCGACCATCTTAATCTTCCTACTTATCCTCAGCCCACTTGCCTGCTTGCTTGCTAGCCAACCAGCCCGCCCACCAATTTAATTAATTGGTGGGGTGGGCTGGGCAAATTAATCCAATTTACAATATTCCTTATGGGAAAAATTATTCAGTACTCTAGCAGATCAGCACTTGAACGGCCTTCTGGAACCAATTAAGCTTGAGTACCGAGGGTTCCACTTCACTAACATTTTTGGACATGCATAGCAATTTTGCATTTTGTAATCACTTAAAATATATTACTTGCCTTGCTTCATGTATTCGACAGCTTTGTCACCAATTTCAGGAGTTGTCTGGTTTGAGGCTTCAAGATATTGAAGAATGAAAATATTAGGGGCAAAGTTTAGCATGTTTTGTTCTCCACAACCATATGGCATTCGCACTAATGAACCCAGATTCTGAAATAAATACACAAATATAAGTCTTATAGAATGAGGATATTCAGAATTGCTGAAAAAACTATAATTATAATTAATTAATTATGTCTGTTGTTTGAGCGCAATGCAGAAAACCATTGTACTGTCCGATCACCTTGATAAAACACATCTGCAAGCTTATGGAGAGAATCCTGAAGGAGGAAATCATTCACCTTCTCACAGTGAACAATCTTGTTAAATCACCACAACATGGG